AGTATCCCCTCCATGACTTAAGTATAACTTAACCACAGATACGTACGTACCACCGTTCCTTCCAGTTCCTCAATTATGAGTGAAAGCAGAGAAAGAGATAAATACTTCTATTAAGTAGTCTTCATGTAGGATGTTTCTTATCAGCAAATATGGAACAACCGTGTACTTTTTTTTTTTTTCATTTATTTTTATTAGTTGGAGGCTAATTACTTTACATCATTACAGTAGTTTTTGTTATACATTGAAATGAATTAGCCATGGATTTACATGTATTCCCCATCCCAGTCCCCCCTCCCACCTCCCTCTCCACCCGATCCCTCTGGGTCTTCCCAGTGCACCAGGCCCGAGCACTTGTCTCATGTACCCAACCTGGGCTGGTTATCTGTTTCACCCTAGATAATATACATGTTTCAATGCTGTTCTCTTGAAACATCCCACCGTACTTTTATAAATATTCTTACATGGAACTAAGCTGCTCATCAACCAGATCACCAGCCTCTCAAATTATTTAGTGTGCTGTGAAATGTCAGGCAACCATAGCAAGTGTCTTGTCAACAGTTGGCACCAACTCAGTTCAAGTATTAGGAACTACATTTTGAAGCTCATTATAACCAGGTAGTATGCCCGTGACTGAAAATAAAAGGTGAACCATATCTAGCATAGACCTCAAAAGAAGTGGGGGGAGGGGGGAGGGAGTGATGAATATTTACACAGTACCTACATTTTGCTAGTCACTGTTAGGTACATTACATATTGTCTCGTTTAATCCATAAATCTGGCCTCTTTGACATTTTTCAAAGAAAATAAAAAACTTATCCAAGACCACACAAACCACACACACCACTTGTCCAAGACTGCTAATACGCTGTTGTGGAATTCAAACCAATGTCTGTCTGTCCCAATCTGTGTTCAGGTCTTTCCTTTGTTTACTAATTCTTTTTTTTTTTTTTTTTAGTTCTTTAATTCAATTAACCCACTGCTTCTGCTGCTAAGTCGTTTCAGTCGAGTCTGATTCTGCCACCCCATGGACTGTAGCCCACCAGGGTCCTCTGTCCATGGGACTTTCCAGGCAAGAATACTGCCCTCCTCGAGAGGATCTTCCCCACCCAGGGATCAAATCCACATCTATTATGCCTCCTGCATTGGCAGGCAGGTTCTTTACCACCTAGAAAGCTCATTTTCTAGTGCCATCTAGAAACTCCATTTAACCCACTACATGCCAGTATAAGAGTTGCCTCAGTTTATGGGAAAATTCTCAGTTTAATGGGACAAATCTACAGGCATTCACACCATGAACATACCATTTGAAATGTTATATATCAATAAATAGAATGTCCTAAGTGCAATGGAACATAGAAGAGGGACTCTGCCTAGGGCGGTTCATAATTCTTTTATCTGGTGGTTAAAAAGACAGTAGAGCTTTAATTCCTGCCCAGATACCATAGTGACCTTGCAATTATTTCCAATTAAGCAACCCCAACCTTTCTTAAACCTACTCTGCCTGGGTCATATATTCCCTAAAACTGAAGTTTGCTGGATATGGCCATTTAGACCACTCTCCACTTACTGTCTGTCAAGCTTAGATCATGGCTGCTACTTCTATAGACCTCAATGTTAACGGATCCTTTTTTTTTTTTTTTTGAGACACTCACACTAAACTAATCATCATTACCATGGCCAGGGTCTTCAATAAAATCAGAAAGGTCATCTCTCTTCCTTTCCCCTCCTCTCCCTCCCTCACCTTTCTCAATTTCACCTTTATTACTTGAATCAGAAGATCCTTGGGTAAATTAAACTACTAGCATCATGCCATTTTATGCAGAATGTACTCATCTCATAAATATATAAATGTATGTATGCTGTGTTGTTTAATCACTAAGTCATTTTGCGACCTAAGTCATTTTGATTCTTTTGCAACCCCGTGGACTGTAGCCTGCCAGGCTCCTCTGTCCATGGGATTTCCCAAACAAGAATACTGGAGTGGGTTGCCGTTTCTTTCTCTAGGAGATTTCCCTACCCAGGGGTTGAACCCATATCTCTTGCATTGGCAGAGGGGTTCTTTATCACTGAGCCACCAGGGAAGTGATGTATGTTTATGTATAGGATCACTGGTGTATGTGGAATTAGCTTCAGATGGCTAGATACAATGTTTCCAAGTATCCCTAAGTGCTCTGTCCTGAACATACTGTACCAATTTTGCTCTCATTTTTATTGACTTGTTTTACTTCTGAGTCTCTCATATCTCATAGGCTCCAACTGGTCCCCTGAAGCATCACATTGTCCTACCGTCTTTAAGCTACAAGGGGGCTTTCTAGCCTTTTGGCAGAAAGATTAGATCTGCTGTTGCTATGATGTTGCAACTACCTTTTCTCTTTTTCTCTTCCCTTTGTCTCTTTCATTTGCAGTTGTCCGATCCATAGTATGTTGGAACTCTTCTAAGAATAGCTGCAATTTTGAAAGCTCTGAGTGTGGGAAGCATTATTTAAGAGGAAGCATTAGTTTTAAGAGGAAGAAGAACCACTTCTAAGCAGAGTTCTACTAGTAAGACTACCCCCACCATATTTTCAGTTCAGTTCAGTTGCTCAGTCGTGTCTGACTCTTTGCGACCCCATGAACCGCAGCACGCCAGGGCTCCCTGTCTATCACCAACTCCTGGAGTCCACCCAAACCCATGTGCATTGAGTCGGTGATGCCATCCAACCATCTCACCCTCTGTCGTCCCTTTCTCCAGCCCTCAATCTCTCCCAGCATCAGGGTCTTTTCAAATGAGTCAGCTCTTTGCGTNACTGCTGCTTACTGACCTGCATATAGGTTTCTCAAGAGGCAGGTCAGGTGGTCTGGTATGCCCATCTCTTTCAGAATTTTCTAGAGTTTATTGTGATCCACACAGTCAAAGGTTTTGGCATAGCCAATGAAGTAGAAATAGACGTTTTTCTGGAACTCTCTTGCTTTTTCGATGATCCAGCAGATATTGTCAATTTGATCTCTGGTTCTTCTGCCTTTTCTAAAACTAGCTTGAACATCTGGAAGTTCACAGTTCACATATTGCTGAAGCCTGGTTTGGAGAATTTTAAGCATCACTTTACTAGTGTGTGAGATGAGTGCAATTGTGTGGTAGTTTGAGCATTCTTTGGCATTGCCTTTCTTTGGGATTGGAATGAAAACTGACATTTTCCAGTCCTGTGGCCAATGCTGAGTTTTCCAAATTTGCTGGCATATTGAGGGCAGCACTTTCACAGCATCATCTTTCACTATTTGAAATAGCTCTACTTTAGCCAAATACTATCTTCTGCAGGTTATTTTCCTGTAATTCCTTAGAAAAAGTTTCCTTTGGAATAGTGTATTAAGGAAAAGAAAAAAAAAAACTACCACTTTCTACACTCTTTCTTCAGGACTGGCCTGATGGCTCCACAGATAGAAAGAAGCTGTTTATACTGTGTGTTCCACTTTCCATGTCTTCAGTTCCCAAGATCATCTCATAGCACAGCTATAAGCCATCTACTTTCTAAACAAAAAGGCCAAAAGACTACAAAGAAAAGTTATCCCCCTGTACACAGCCTCCCCAGAAGTCCCACATGACACTCTGACTACAGTTTCATTGGGCTGACTGTGGCAGCTGGTCACTCCAGCTGCCAAGAAAGGGAGGAAATGATCTCTTTTAGCTGCATATGGCCATCTCCTCAACAGTGGGATGGTCTAACTAAGGAGGAAGAGAATGGATATTGGGTGGTGTGTGCCTCGCATATTATTCTCTTATCTACTATCTTTTCTAGCAGTGACCTCTTTAGAATCATCAGGAGGTCTGTGCTAGAAGTTAGAAGTAAAGTATGGAAAAGAAAGGTATCTGAGTCAATTATATAAAGAGCTTAAATTCAAGAAATTATTATAATTCTGGGCCCTTGTTAAAACTCTGGTAAGATAAATTCTCTAGCATACTAAGTAAATCAGTTCTTATTGTGCCATCCATGCCCAGAAAGGCAAAAACTCACAAAACGAAAGAAAACAATCTACGTGATATTTAGTTTGGAACAACTTCCTATTTTTTTAAATGTATGTGACTAAGCATTATGCTTTCAAAGTTATTTGCATTTTTGTTTGTTTGTTTCACCGCAAAAATGAAATGTATTAGGGAGAAAAGATAGCATAGAACTAATAAAAAAAAATCTTCAGTCCTCCACAAAATTAAGCAAAAAAATAGAATATTGGTGATTGAATCAGAATGTATGTCCTTGTGTGTTTGTTTTCTAATGCTGCTATGACAAATTATCACAAACCCAGTGGCTCCAAACCGTAAAAACTTATTATCTTACGTTCCTGAAGACCAGAAGTCTGAAGTCTGTTTTGTAGGGCAAAAATCAAGGTGCTGGCAGGCCTGTGTTCCTTCTGGAGGCTCTTTCCTCAGCTTTTCTGGGGTTTAGAGGCTATCTTTACTTCTAGACCCAAGGAGAATCACATAGCCATAGCTCCTTTTGCTTTCATTGACATATCCCCTTCTCTCTCTGACTCTGATCCTCCTGCTTCCCTCCTAGCCACCACTGTGATTACATTGGGCCATCCAGATAATCCAGAATAATCCCCCACCTCAGAATCACTAATTTAATTAGGGATTAAATCCATAATAGTGGAAGGTAAGGTATTCTCAAGTTCCAGAGATTAGGCCATGGACATCTTTGGGAGGCCATTATTCACTCTGCCACAATTTACAAAATAGTAAAGCACTTATGAAAACTGATTCAATACTTGATCTTAATAAGAAGTTCATGTCAGAGCCACACTGTTGCTGCTTTCATTTTCCCTTGATCTTATTCACAGTCAAAATAAAGAAACTTCATGATGCTGATTTTCAGTATATTTATTCCCTTTGGCTGTTAATCATAGCTTTATGTTATACATTTGCTAAGACTTAGTCCACAATTCTTCTTAGAAAATTCCCTCATGCACCTGAGGAATTGTATTCTTTTCTAACTGTTTTTTTGTTTTGTTTTAACTTCGTTTTTCAGAAAAGCAAGACAACAACACAAGAATCGAAGCCATAAAGTCTCTTGTACAAAAACTCCCTCCACCAAATCGTGACACCATGAAGGTCCTCTTTGGACACCTAACTAAGTAAGTTGTAAAAGTTTCTGGTTGTGTTTGTCATATTCTCATTTCCTAAATGACTAATATTTAATTTCAAGTCTCTAGTATAAGAGTTTCTGAATGCTTTGGTCTCAGATTTCCCCCTCTAGCTGATCTAAGTCTTCCTTCAGAAGCTGGGAAATGTACTTGAGGTAGGAAAGGAGACGTACAAAAGGAACTTTCAAAATAATCTCCTTTTCCTGACTTTTCAACAAGTACATGTTTGCTGACTGATTGCCAGAACTGTAGCCAGAGCCCTGGAATGGGCTGGGTTTACTTTGTTATTTTAGTATGATGGCAGGAGCCTGAAATGATTTAGACATGAGTTCAAAACCTAGAGCCATCATGTACCAAGAGTGATGACCACAGATAAGTGACTTAAACTCTCTGATATCCAGTTCCTTCATCTAGAAGACATTGATGCCAATAGACAAGGTGGCATCTATGTAAACTGCTAAGAGAAAAAAAAGACAGTGAAAAAGACCTAGAGGCCATGCAGAGCTCGGTGTGTTTGACAAGCATAAAGTAGACCTAACTGGCTAGAGCCTCATGGATGAGGGACCTGGGGGTGGAGCTGAGGTCATAGATGTTGGACCAGTGTAAAACCACATAGGTTCTTGCGGGCCACAGTGAGAAAGTGGAATTCCATTATAAATACAGTGATGAACCATAAAGTGTGTGAAATTGAGGAATTCTATACAAAATCACCCTGGCTGACAGATGGAGAATGATTTCCAAAAGTGAAAGCAGGGAGACCTATATGGAGAAGACCTTGGTAGTTCAGGCAAAAGTAATGCTAATTTCCCTGGAAGCCTTAAAGAAGTATTTCGATGATGGGTCAAGTCAGATTTGCTGATAGTTAGGATGCAGTGGAGAAAGGAAAGGAGAAATTAAATGTTCCTCTTAGGGTTTGGTCTAGAGCAAATGGAGAAGTGATGGTGTTACCTAGATGAGTAAAACTGGGAGAAGGAAGAGGTTGAATAGGAAGAACTGACTGGACAGCTATGTTTTGGACACTTTAAGTTTGCCATGATCGTTCCTCATTTGTCTCGTGTTAACACCTTCTTCAGATAATGCAGAGTGCAATATAAGTGATGAGGTTTTAGCTTTCATCACATACATATAGTAATGTTGAAGCCTGATAGATCAGGCAGTTTTGCTTTTGTGAGATTAAATCTCTTTAATCACCCATTCCTTGGGTTGAGTCATTCCTATAGATTATTCAATTAACCCACTACATAATTTTTAATTGTAAATATAATGCACGGTATTGCATACGTGAAAAATTTAGGCAACGGTCATGCTTATAAATCAAATTTGCCTTCCAGTCACTCTTAGCCTGCTGAGCAGAAATAACTAACACTTTGTATCTACCCTTCCAGACCTGTTCCTAATCCTAAAGACATGCAAATATACCTGTGTGTGCTTGTTTATTGCATTTGAGTATACTTTCTGCATGTATTGTTCTGCAACTATTTTGCAACTCATGGACAGCTTCCCATTTCGTTAAGCAGGTATCTGATTCTTTCTAACAATGGCATAGTATTCCATGGGATGGATAATCTATATTGCTTCACTGGTCACTACATCAGGGAACATGTTTCAATCTAATTCATCATATTTCCTCCTTACTTATTTCACTCCCACCAGTGGGAGCTGTATCAAAGTTCAGAAGATCCTTTATTGTTAGAATGCCCCTGCATGTCACGTCCACATACTGGCTTTGGTGGGAAACCCAGTGTGGTTTCTTGGTGAAAAGATGTTGGGCTTTGAAAAAATAGAGATCTACAGTCAAATTCTTGTTCTATACTTTATACTCCCTTTATGATCTCAAACACATAAAATCATATTAAATAATATCAACCATATCTTGTGGTTATGAGAATTAAATAAGATAATGCATATAAAAATTCTGGCACAAGGTAAGCATTCCTCAAATGCTAATTCTTTTCCCTTAGGTTCCAGACACACCATGAAAGGAGTTTCAAGTTGCATGTAAATACTGGAGTGCTTATCTCAGTAACTCTAACTGGACAAAGTCATAAAGCAAATGGAAAAGTATACTCTTTAGTGCTATGTAATACCTAGTCTCAGAGATCTTGAGAAATATCCATTACTCAGTCTCAAGTATGCCTTTGTTTTTCCAACTGAAAGAACAACTATAAAATGAAGAAGCTGAGAATCAGCTAAATCCTACTTTGAAAACACACACACACACACACACACACTGCAGAGAGTCTATCCAATTAAAAACTTTGAAAGGATGAGAATCATTCCACACAATCTCAGTATTAGCAATTAGTGCCTGATCGTGTCTCATATCTAAATTAATTCCGTAATTTTGTTAGAACTTTCATTCAGTTCAGTAGAGATGGAAATAGATGTTTTTAATAGAGATTTAAGATAGGGTTATTATATCACCGTCACAGTATCCACGTGATACAGTTTTCCATTTCAAATGGAGAGAAAAGTGTTGTTTGCTTGCCACCCACCTTTCTTGAGTTGTGTGACCATATTCCACCCTGCAATGATTTATAAACAGGGTTTAATTATGCACAAGTGTGTGCACATGATTATATCTTGTTAAGCATTTCTTGCTAAGTTTTTGATAAACAGCCAATCGTGGCATGTCATCAAAGCTTGAGAAGACTAAATAAGAAGATTGTTTAACGAGAATTTAAATGTATTCATGTTTGAAAGAATCATTAGAATGTTTTCCTTAGTCTTGATGTATTTGGTAGTTCTTCAGAAAATCTACCATCAACACTTGTATGTAGTGTTTATTCCAAATTGTTGCAAATATATATATATTTTGAAGTTTGTTTAGCAAAGGTCAGGGAATGCAATGAAGTGCCAAAAATTCCACTTGACCTACGTCGTATTCCATAGCCAGCATAATAGAAGTCCAGTTTTGCAAAGCTCTGAGTTAAACATTCCCTTGAAAGCAGAGCAACTCCCAACTGAGAAAGTTTAATGCACCACAATTGAAGTAGAAGCTGGATGCAGGTGCTATTCACAAAAGCCAGAATTTTTAAAGGGTTATGATTATATTAAGCATGTGCTTGCATGCTCAGTTGCTCAGTCGTGTCCCACTCTTTATGACCCCATGAATTGTAGCCCACCAGGCTCCTTGTCCATGGAACTTTCCAGGCAAGAATACCGGCATGGGTTGCCATTTCCTTCTCCAGGGGATCTTCCTGACCCAGCGATGAAACCTGCATCTCTTGTGTCTCCTGCATCCCCTGCATTGGCAAGTGGATTCTTTACCACTGCATCACCTGGGAAGCCCATGTTAAACATAAGATTACATAACAACCTCACAGGCTGAATAGTCTCATAGTCCAGAGTCCTCATTCTCAAGCATACTCATGGTGAAGTATGCGCTTCTGCTGTGATAGATTGAGACCAGGAATTCAGAATACGCTATCATCTCAAAATGTCATCAGCCAGAAATCTTTATTAATAGGCACTTTCGCCAATTGACATTACAGTGATAAGCACTGGAAGGTCCTGTGATACCCTCTGAATCATATAAATGGCATGTTCTATCTCTGAAAAATATGTGGCCAATGCATGTTCCTTCGACCTGCTTCTTTGAAAAGGCAGGCAGGCAAAGTGGAGATGAAGTTAATGGGAAGGCAGACATAGAAAGATAAGTGTTGCTTGTTGATGGGTAGTATCTTGAGGTTGAGAGCTAGGCAGAGTTTATATAAGAAATAGAGAACCACTGAGTCTTTATCTGTTGGACATTTGCATGATGTGCTCCCTGTTTATGAAAGAGTCCTCTAACAATAGAGTGTAGGGTGAATGAGATAGAAGAAGAACCCAAGAAGCCACTTGGAGAGGTAGTTAGATTGGAGTGATGAATCTCAGATGGAAAGCAATGGTCCAAACCCTGCGACTTCTCAAAGGAAAATTACACTCACTTTTTGTTTCTCTCATTTCTTTAACCTCCTTATTTAGATAGCCATAGGGATAAGTCTGAGGTTTCAATGTTGAGTAATTGTAAAAATAGTTCCTTCAATAGAAGTAAAAAAGCAAAAGAAGACACTGTTTAGAAGGGTGCACTTTTTTCTCTATTTTGAAATACAGACAGGGAAAAAGCAAGATGAGGTTAGAGAAGAATAAGGAAATAGAGTGAACTCTGTTTTGTTGCTGTGAGTTGAAATAAGCCCTCTAGATCTGCTGGTGGGGATGTTCCAACCAGCATGGTGGGAAGCCATAAATGTAATATAGCTCAAGAATGAAAGCCTTTCAGATCTTCTTGCCTTTTGAGCCAACCGTCTTATGCCATTACCTATCCTAAGTAATGGTGGGGGAGGCAGGTAGTTTATGCTAATGAAATTTTACTATTTACATGAGTAGAAACTTGGAAACAACCTAAGCATTCAGTGACAGGGGATAGTTATATAGAACATGGTAGTCATATCAGCTTAATAAAATGTAGTTCATAGCTAGTTGTTTTTTTAATTAGGGAAATCCTTGCATTAAGTTAAATTCAGGGATGCAATATTTTATATACTCAAAGAGAGTATAAGTGTAAATATGTGGGAAAGTTGTGCATTTAGAAAAGACTGTAAAGCTGCTTGCTGAGATGTTAATATTTCTTTCTTAGAGTTGTTGAATCATGAAAGAATTTTTTGTGTGTGTGTCTCTTCTTCTCTCCTAGCAGTGGGATAGAAAGAGACATGGGGTTTAAGAGAGCCGGTAAAGAGAATAGGCTTTGAAGTTAGGCAGAAGTGAATGTGAGCCTTGGCGCTGCCGCTTACTGGACATGTAACTGTGAACTGACTTAACTCTAAGCTTCCTTTTTCTCATCTGCAATACGGGATTCATAATAACACTTACTTCTGTGATGAGGAGTAGAAGAAGAATCCTTTGAAAGAATCTTGCACAGTACCTAGCACATAGTAGGTTCTGGATAAGCATTATACATCAACATTTATTATTTTTATTATCTGAGAAACATAAAATAATTCCTAATGAAATAAA